CCAATTCATAGTCTCACCAACAGTATATTAGTGTGCCTATCTTTCCAAAGTTGCTACAGCATTGCTTGTTGGCATCATTTGTCATCTTTGCTAATTAGTATGCAGGATAAAACTTAAGAGTTGTTTTGATTCTCATTCTCTTATTAGTTATTTGTAATTTTTTAAATGTGGTAGTTAGGTAGTTTGTAATTCTTCCTTTGAGAATTGTTTGTTCATTTTCTTTGACCACTCATATATTGGGCAGTGGCATTTGGCATCAAACCCCTATCTGAAATATTTAGTACAAATATTTTTCCCCAGTCAAACTCTTCCCCTCTTATATTAATTACATTAATTTTGATGGTGCAAAATCTTTTCAATTTCAAGTAGTTTAAATTATCTCTTCTAACTTATGCAATCCCTTGCTTGATGAAGAATTCACCCCATGTAGCAAAGAACTTGAACAAAAGTAGTCATCCATCAGTTAGGGAATGACTGAAAAAATTATAATATGTTAATATAGTGGAATATTGCATTTTAATAAATGAGGAAAGGGATCATTTTAGAGAAAGCTGGAAATACTTGTATGAATTGATGCAGAATGAACAAAGATAGGAGTTGTATTTGGGAGCTTGACTGTACTTCTTAATACTTTGCCATTGTGGCTCCACTTCCATCCCATTTCATTTACCACACATTTTAGTTTCGGTGTTTTAAGCACACTAATACATTGAGACTTTCTGCTAATCACTGCCCTTCCCCGCAAGCCCCCCAAGGTATTGATGGAAACTTGAAAGAAAATAGACGTGGATCACATAGAGTAAGTAAAGAAAAAGATTCAGGTATAATAAGACTATGCATCTTCCTTCATTTGCTATAATTATTAACAATTAGTGAATATCCAAATAACATTTTATACTTTGATAGACTTAAACTAGTGTGAGTACATTCCTCTAAGCCTCTTAGCCATATCTTTCCAAATGTCTTCCATATAAGATCCACCCCATGTACTGGAGTAGCCAGAAAGAAAGAATTCAGAGTAGCCAGAATCAAGCTCACACCTGATTTAGCAACCACAACTATAAAGGAGCAGAGAGCTTGGGAAGTGATATTCCGGAAGGCAAAGGATATAGGTTTATAGCCAAGAATAACTTTATCCAGCAAAGCTGAGTATAATTCTACAGGGGGGGAATGGATCTTTAATGAAATAGAGGACTTCCAAGGTTTCCTGATGAGAAGACCAGAACAGCTTAGAAACTGTGAAATTCAAACATAGGAATCAAGAGAACTAAATACACGAATTATTATTTTTGTCTAGTCCAATTAAGTAAGTCTCTAATAGATTTATAATAAATTTGTAAATCAGATTAGTATCATAATTTTTATTATATTGGTGCAGCCAAAGCATCAACAATGAATATTTCTCCAAGTATTCTGTTACATCTGTAGATAGTTTTGTAATCGTATAATTCCTGAGCATATGGAGGCAATTTAACTCTTAATATTAACCCCAGATCTGATATAGATTATATATGTAGAATCATAGTAAACATATATTAGAACAACCTTTTCAGTCATGTAACCTAAGAATGGGAACTACACCTGTAATTTCACTGATACAAGGACCCCTGCCTAGATGAGGAAACTTCTACTAATGTGCATCAGAAACTTCACTAGTTTCTAGTCTTGGAAGGTATCTAGAGCACTGAGAAGTGATGAGACTAGCTCAGGGTCACACTGTAGTTCTCAGGGGACTACTCGAACCTAGGTCTTGGTAGCTCTGAGGCTAGTTTTATTCATTGTGCCCTGCTGCCTCTCTCGTATAATCTGATAAGCAATTTGAATACAAAAGCTTGCATCAAAAATAATTAGAGGATAATAGAAAATTTTATAAGAATGATTAGAAGAACTCAAGAGCTGCAGGTGTTCATAAAGAGAATACAAATGATTTTGATTTCATAAAATTAAGCTTTTGTTTAAACAAAATGTATAACTAAATAAAAAGAGAAGCTACCAAGCTAAAAAAAAATCATGTCAAATATCAGCATGTAAATAACTATGTCTAAGATATATGGAAATGATATCTCAATATAAGACCAAGAGCCATTTTCTATCATCATATGATAGAAAAGGAAGTTTTCAAAAGATAAAATGCAAAACATCAAATCAGCATCTGTATGAAAGAATGCTGCAAGTCATCAAAAACAAAAGAAATGTCAATTAAGAGAACTGAAGTTTCACTTCATACCCATCAGATTGGCAAAGGTGAAAAAGACAAACATAAGTGACAGAAGGCCTATGGAAAGGCAGCCACACTAATGTACGTTGGGTGGATTAGTGAGTTGGTCTGTCAGTTCCAGAAAGCTACACAGAACTATATGAGAAGTCCATAAATTCTTCATACTCTTTGACTCAGCAGTATTACTATTGGACATAAACCTTCAATGAGGTGAAAAAGAGATGCCACGTAGATTCCACAGTGTTGGTAGCAGCGCTTTTTGTGGTAGCAAGAAACTAGAGAAACAGTGTCTCTCATTTGGAGAAATTGAAGAAGAAATTGCACTGTGTAGGATTGTAATAGATCATTATTATGCCATAAGAAATGACAAATGAAGAATTCAGAAAAATTTGGGAGGATTTATATAAAGTATTTCAGAGCCAAGAGAACAAGGTACAAGTTAACCATAACAGTATGAACATAAACATTGAAATACATCAGAACATTGCCTAGTTGTGCCTCCAAATCTCAGCAGAAGTGTGCTAGACTATAGGTGGGGAACAATATGTACATTGTTAGACAAAGTCAGGTCAATTTAATTTGCTTAGCTGTTCTTATTTGCACCCCCTGTGGAGTTCTCCCTTGTAAACAGTCAAAAGAAAGCAATAGCAGTGCAGGAAAAAAAGCATATTTTAAAGGAAAGATATAAATAATTAGCCAACATTTGTCAATATAATAAAAGTGATATTACTTAAATTAATTACTTAAATTCATTTATAGGTTTATTATACCAATCACAATTCCAAGGGGTTGTTATATAGAACTAGACAAAATAGTAATATTTATTCAAAAGAACAAAAGGTCTAGAATCTTAAAGGAAATAAATTTTAAAAATAAAAGCAAGTGAGAGGTGAGACTAGCATTTCTACCACTACCACCTACCATCCTTTCAAACTATATTGCAGAGTAGTTTTCATCCACATTATTTGGTACTGGTTAAAAAATGGGAAATGTACAACAGTGAAACAGAAGAAATGTATGAAAACATAGTGGCAGTAACCACTGTATTCCAGTGTTCAGTAAACCCAAGAACATTAACATTTTGAGAAAGATTCCCTGTTCAACAAAACTTTTGGAGAAAACTGGAAAATAATTTGGCAGAAAATAGCTTCACAATTCAAATATCACATGATAAAACAAATTAAAGGAGAAGCAGTGGCAAGGGAGAGAATTCTTAAAGGTAATCATAAAAGATCACAAAGAGAGAAATAGATAGTGTCAGTTATATATATTTTAAGAGCTCGGAATGAACAAAATATTACAGCTATATTTAAAAGGGTATTAGTTGCTTAAGGGAAAAAAGTAACAACTTTGAAGCAAATAAATTATAAAGATCTTCTATTTAAGATATATGGAGAATTGACAAAACCATATACAAATAAGATTGGCATAGATGACAACAAAAATGGCAAATGATGGAGTTTATTGTAGAAAGTCAGGAATACTAAAGCCCTGTTTTTGGAGCCATGAACTGAGCTAATCATTATAGAAAATAATTTTGGGGGGTGGGGCGCTGCTAGGTGGCACAGTAGATAGAGCTCCAGCCTTAAAGTCAGGAGTTCTGAACTGAGTTCAGATGTAACCTCAGACACTTGAAACTTACTAGCTGTGTGACCCTGGGCAAGTCACTTAACCCGGATTGCCTCACCAAAAAAAGGCAAAAACAAACAAAAAAAAGAAAATAAGTTGGATGCTAGAAGAATTACTAATTGTACGTGCCTGTTGACTCTACTACTACGGGGAATATGCCTCATGAAGGCCAAAGATAGAGGGAAAGGTCCCGTTGGTACCAAAACATGCCCAGCACCACTTCCTGTGATAGCAAACGGCTAGAAACAGAATAGGTGCCTGTCAGTTTGAAAACAGCCAAATAGATTGTGGTATAGCAAAGTAATGGTATATTATTGTGCCAGAAGAAACAACAAACAAAAAAACAAACAAAGATATTGAGGAAAATTTAGAAAGGTTTCTATGAAGATGCAAAACAAAGGAAGCAGAATCAGCAGATTAACATAAATGGAATGACTGTAAATGAAAACAACACTAAGTTACAACTAAACTCAGAATAAAGGCAATGACCAAGACTAGGTGTACAGATGTTGAAATATACCACCTTCTTGCTAGGGAAGGCTTTAGAAGTGTGGTTGCTGAACTTTGCTTATGATTTCAGAAATGGTTGCTGTGTTAATTGGTTTTCCTTAACTTCTTTATGATAAGAGAGGGTTCTGTGGTAGGGGAGGATGCAGGAAATGTCTTTGACATAAAACAAAATTTATTTTTTAAAAATCCTTTGTATTATAACACAGTCTTTTGTTGTTGATTCATCTGTCTTATCACCTAAATTATAATTCTGGTCCAGCTATACAGATAATTTTGTTTTGAGTATTTTCTTCCTGTTCTCTGTTCTTATTTTACTACCACTAGCAGTCCTCTGTATTATTGGACTTTTTCCTTGATCAAGTTTGTAAAGGAAAAAAATACTCAGATCAGATCAGATTTTTCCATCCCAGTGTTTAGATTAGTTCAGTAGATAATTTTTGGTGCTTGAAATTAACTTTTATTGATGATTGTAATTTTAAGTATGTGCTATCCAAATAAAAATGTACAGAGTAATTCTGGTTATGGGATATATGTTATAAAAGCAAATTACTTTCTTTTAAATATCATATGGAAATGGAGAAATTTCTTTTTGCATATGTGAAAATAAATATTACCTGATCTTTGCTATGTATTTCTATTTCAGGTGCCAGCAAGATGTGGGGTGACAGTCCGAGACAGTCTAAAGAAAGCATTGATGATGAGAGGCCTGATCCCAGAATGCTGTGCTGTGTACAGAAGACAGGATGGGTATGGCTTGTACAGAGTGTGTAGATCTTTGTGAAACTTCATTTCTCTCAAGGAATAAACTTAATTTTAGAAGAAATTACCTAATTTGTTCTGAAATGGCTCCAAATAAATCTTCCTGAACCAGAAAAATATTTTTTCTTGTTCTATAATCATAGAAGTTTAATTGTAGCTTGAATTTCTTATAACTGTTTCACAGTTTCAGAGTAGACTAATTTGAAGTGTAGAACTTTTCTTTTCATTGCAAAGTTGTTCCATTAAAGTCTTACTCCAGTGCCTCATTGTAGTGTAAAGGCGACAGTGTATTCTATAAGACTATGCCATTGTATCACAAGCTCTGAGAAATCCTCCCTCCTATGCTAGAAGGATTCTGAATGTAGACCCAGCTGTAAAATGTGAATCTTTGTTCCACGAGATTCTAAGTTCAGAGAGGTACATCACCAGAAGGCTGGCTACCAGGTGGTGACTGTTTTTTTGGCCATGGCAACTCACGAAGACCAACTGCTGAGGGAAAGAGGGGTGGCATGAGTGTGATCTCTGTTGGTGCAAGAGCATCAGCACTAGGAAGTCACAGATCCTAGAGTACTAAAGTAAGGACTTGCTATACTTAAAAAAAAAATAGGGCCTCACCTGTGTCCAGACTATCAATGATTTTATGAAATACTTGTAAAAAAATTTTTTTAGATTGAGCTCCCTGGCTTCTACTTAACATTTTGTAAAGGCCTTAAATTAGTACATCATATAAAATTCTCCTTTTGAGGACATCTTGTCATATGAGCATTCTTTTCTATGAATGGATAGAAAAATCCATATGTCTGATTTTTGGATCCCAGGAACAAGCCATTCTCTGCTGTTGCAGGTCTTGGCTGGAGCTGACTGGAAGAACAGAATGCATCTCTCTACCCTGCTGTTTGTCCAAGAGTGATGCATGTATTTGGGGTAAACTTAAAAATCAATTTATTGCCATTCAAATTTCTAACAGTAGAAGACTAGGGAGCCAAACCTCCCTCAATTATACCACTCTACCCTTAGTAACCACTTTTCATATCTTCAACATGAGGCATATTGAAAGGATTTTCAGGTATGATAACCAAGAAAGACTCATGTCTACATTTTCCAGAGAGAAGAAGCCTATTGGCTGGGACACTGATATTTCCTGGCTTACTGGAGAAGAATTGCACGTAGAAGTTTTGGAGAATGTTCCCCTAACGACACACAATTTTGTATGTACCTTCTGATTTTTGAAATGGTTCAAATGTTCGCAGTCATGTATTTCGAGTTACTATGAATGGACTTCTAGGGGAGAGGGGAGAAAATAAGTAAGTAATGATATGGAGGATAACATTCTGTTTCAGGAGAAAGCTTTAATTACAAGCATGTTATCATTTTAAAAAATTTGGTGGAAAAGATTGGGTTACTTCCCCAGAGCATGACAGAGAAGTCTTCACGGTCTAGGGCCCAGGGGTGAGGCTTGATAGAAACTCCATGAAAATGGCATAAATTACCATATAAAATTTTAAGTCACCCTTAGTGTAAGCTACTCATCTGAAGTCCAACACATGTTAAGCTCTGTACTTTCTGGATGAACAGCTGAGGATTTGGTTCTGCAGCTACTTCTTTCCACTGCTTCTTTAGAGTTTCTTAGTATTCCTCCTTCATGGATTTTTACTCTTCTACTGTTGGCTTGTTGAAGGGACCATTATATCCCAAAATGGTGATGGAAAGGGACGGGAGGGAAGGAGAAAGAAAGCACGCTGCTTTTGTGAAAGGTATTAGTATTTGAAGGGAAGCTGAGTTGAGATGGGCATCTTTAATGTATTTGTCATATGTCTTTAATAACTTCTTTGCTACTTGTAAGTCACATTACTTCATAAACCTTTAAGTATCGTGAAATGCTAATTGCTGGTTTTGCTTCTTGCAGTAATGCTTTTCTTCCTCCTCAGCTGCATGTACATAAATGTGCATATTCTGACACATGGAGTATATCCTCCCAACTTCCCTTTGAGCCTCTGGGCATTTCTCTTTTTGAATGGCTTCTGCTTTTAGAAGATAATGGTACAAGATGCCAAAATCTTATATGTAACCAAAAATTAAGACTGTCCATCCTCATGTTAGGAGTAAAACATCTCCAATCAGAAATACCAAAGTCTAGGAAATAGCCCTCTGAAATAGAAGGGCAGAAACCTGGAGTAGAGCATTCAGTAAGCCTAGGACACATCCGGCTTTTGTGAATATCTTTCCCACAAAAGTCTTCTAGTTGGGATTGATGATCTTCATGATGGAGCTGTTGTTCCTGCTATTCTTCCTGTTCTTTCAAACATTTTCCTATGAATTTGATGAGATGATCTTACCTTGCTTTTAGACTTCATTAAAACCTTGTTATAAAGCTGCAAATTCTATTGTACTACCTTACAGTGTAAATATCTTATTATAACTATCTTTTGACCTTTTAGTCACTAAACAGCACTTCCTAGATGGCATCTAAAATGGGTTTGCCTTCTACCAAATTCCACAAAATACTCTGTTTTCCAGAGTCCTATGGAAAATGCCCCAAAATCAAAACAAACTGTTTGTGTTTATACATATCCTCAAAAAGGGGATACATCAACATAATTTGGGAAGAAAACGTTTGAAAGAATATTCAGGGGGGCAGCTAGGTGGCACAGTGGATAGAGCACTGGCCCTGGATTCAGGAGGACCTGAGTTCAAATGCGGGCACAGACACATAACACTTACTAGCTGTGTGACCCTGGACAAGTCACTTAACCCCCATTGCCCAATCCAAAAAAAAAAAAAGAATATTCAGGTGTTGCACTCTTGAATGAATGAATGAAATTTTGTGCTCAAGTATCAATTTGTTGGTGAAACAAATTCTCCTTGGTACTTAAAATACAGAGGAGTGGTTTGAATTAATTTTAATTGTCCTGAACATTCATTGTCTCTAATTTGCCTATATGGTCATTTGTTGTTAGTAATTGTTGTCTTCTTATTGCTTTATACTAATAATGCATTCCTCAGTCATTTATCCTGATCTCTAAGCATATTAGCGGTCCTAATTTTCATTTGAAAATTGTGTGCTACTTTTAAAAATGTTTTTTGATTAATGTTATTAAATATGTTTGAATCTTAATAGGATCCTTCTTTATATAAAAGTTTTCATAGAATTTTTTTTAAAATTAAAGATTTGCCTTTGAAAATGACAAGGGAAGCAAGAAGAAATATGTCTAATTACTTGTGAAGTACTTGTCAGGTTTTCCAAAATCTTGTCTTTAATAGTGCTGGTATTTTATTTTTTAGGTACGGAAGACATTTTTTACCTTAGCATTCTGTGACTTTTGTCGAAAGTTGCTTTTCCAAGGTTTCCGCTGTCAGACATGTGGTTACAAATTTCACCAACGCTGTAGTACAGAGGTGCCACTGATGTGTGTTAATTATGACCAGCTTGAGTAAGTACTCTCTTAATAACTACTCTCTTCTGTTTATAGTTTTAGATTTCTGCTACATTGTATAGGTTTTCTTCATTTCAAATCGTATGCATATATGTTTAAAGTAACAAAGGAGTATTTCAGCAACCATCCTTAGAAAAAATATTATTGGAACAACATGGTGTATCCAGACTGTCACATCCTAATTGTGGTCTAGCTATCCAGTTAACACTTTGTATTTGGTATTCTTTTCCTAGAAGATAAAGAGTTTTAAGATTAAAAGCTCCTCTCCAACAATATATTGTAACACATTGAGCCACTGGTTTTGACTAGTTGCAGTGGTAAGCTTTTTGATACCTGCTTCTCTGGTTCTATCATCTACTTTTGAAATTACTTTTTTCCTTCCGCATTGATTTAGAAGCAAAATTCGTTGATCACTTATTATATTTTTATAAAATATGCTTAAGGATATTTACAAAAAGCCTGTTCCTTGCTTCATAGTATATCCATGAAAATTCCTTATACTATGTTTTCCATTTCATTTCACATTATGACTTTGTATCCTTTTCCTTGAAGTCATTTGAACCAGTAAAGTTAGAACTCTTTACTTTGACTAAATTATAATGTTTCTAACTTTAAAAATAATTACTTCATATTTTTGAGACTAGGTTGAACTTTCAAGTAAAATATCTTTTATGGCTAACATTGTCCCTTTGAGGTAATTATTAAGGATTTCCATGTTTCTTTTTGTTCTAATTCTTTAACTGCCATGAATATTTTTTCTGAATATACAGGAATTTTTTCTGTATTGGCAGAAAAATAAATAGATTTTTGAGCTTTACTTTGAAATTGTGCTATAAATTAAAAAGTTAATCCCATTAATTAAACAAGATGACAAGCAGTTGACTTTCTTTCAACATTTGTTTTTAAATATGGAATTTGGCCCTTTGTTTTGCTATTAACACAGTTGTATATTGTGGTATTTGAGACTTCTGGGTTTTGCACAAGTTAGGTTTGCTTTGTTTTATTTTTGTTTTTGCCTCACAGTTTGCTGTTTGTCTCCAAGTTCTTTGAACACCACCCAATACCGCAGGAGGAGGCCTCCTTAGGAGAGAGCACCCTTACGTCGGGATCATCCCCTTCAGCACCCCCCTCAGATTCTATTGGGTATGATTTGACTACTGCTGTTCAGTGACATGCTAGTTCAAAATTGGTTTTTGTCCAGATTTTAGATGATCCTTTAAAATGTAGCTTTGAACTGTTAACAAAATTAACTTTTCAAGCTGATTTCTTATTTTTATAATAAAGTACGTATTTTACGCATTATGTTGAGGGAGATTAAAGCCGACATAGTATGATGTTTCAGGACCCTTCTCTCATTGATATGTTAATTAGAAAATATGGAGTAAGTACTTACTATGTGCTTTGTACTAGGGTAGTTTCTATGAGGAATGCCTACCAAGTATAATATGGTGGTCCTTGCCCTTGAGGAGATTATAATCTGTTTTAAGAAGGAAACATTAAGACATGAAAGAATGTTAAATAATCAGAGATCATATTAAGTGCCTAATTTGAGGGCAGAAACTATACATATTGTGAGAGTTTGAAAAAGGAGGAGATTATTGGGAGATGTTAGTCAGGGATAGCTTCACTGAGGAGGAAAGATTTGAGCTGGGCCTTCAAGGCTATGTGGAATCTAGATGGACCATGGGTTGGTTAGATCATTTCAGGTAAGAGAAACATTGTAATTAAATACTCAGAGACCTTGAGTATGAGACTTTCTTGGGATAGTGTTAAGATTGGCTGTTATGTTGTAATCCTAAATTTAACTACATGCTAAAGACATTGGTTTTGTGTATGTTCTCATTTGACCAAGCTTTTTACCTAACAGAATATTATTGATATACATTAATTCAGCACACTTTTTTTTAAGTTAGCTGCCTCATGAAGTGTCAGGTTGCCCTTCATTTGAGATCTTCAAGGAAAGGCTAATTTATAATTTTTCTCAAATATTTTGGAGGGAGGGATTCTTGTTCAAGTACTTGTTGGAAAAGTGGGCTCTGAGGTTCCTTCCAATTCTCTGATGTAGGAGTAGTCCAGACAAGTAGAAAAAAGGATCCTTATTCAGAAGTGGGAATAAAGAGGATGCCAGAGAGGTTTGGATGAACCATAAATAGCCTTTAGTATTTAGATGCTAGATGTGAAGGAAAGGGAAAGTGTAATCATGATCCTGAGGACGCATGTAGTGTCAATAGAGGAGTCTCAGATAGAAGTCAGAAGGAAAAGCAAATTTAGGTGAAAAGATAGTAATTTTTCAATGACTTCCCATGTTTACTCAATGTATACAAGCTTTGTAATACATTTGTGTTCTTTCCCTACTTTTCTCTAATTGTCTTTTCTGGTTACATGAATTAGGTTTAAACATAAGCAGTTATTAATTGTAAATATTTATTGAATAGGTAATACAGTTGAATTTTACACTTGTTTTCTCTACTACTGCTTTGATTAGAGCTGCAACTAACAATTGCTTTCTGGATTGGTAATGTAATCCCCAACCTTTTCCATACTATTTCTTTTCTTTTCTGCAGTTTGTAATTTTGACATAACTTCTCTTTTAATACCTTTATTAAAATAATACTTTCTGCAATCAGTATTAGAAGAGTGTCATATATCCTCCTTCATAAAGTTCTAACAGTTTATATCATTCTTCTCAGTTGAGTATTTAATACACACAGTAACATGCCAGTATATAAGATTGAAGTGGTATGCGTCACTGTGTATAAAGTTTTCTTTGTCATTTATGAAATATACCATGCCAGGAATTAACTGTCATATCTGATTCTTCTGAAGCAAAGCTAACAAGTGCTGTGATCTTTTGTTTTTATAGTTGTTTTCTAGTCACCTTTACAGAGTTTAAGAAATTAAAATCTTTTGCCAATAATTATCTTGATTTTGGTTATTTCACACATGGCAAATAAATTAAGGGGATTTGAATAGTCAAGGGGGATAAATTTCTTCAGTGTCTAGTTTAAGAGGTACTTAAGCCAATATATATTATTTGAACTTTGAATATTTTCATATTAATTTAATGTTCCTCTACATGGCAGATATACTCTTAATTTCTTCCCAATCCACATTGTCTTATAGAATAATATATGTAAACCCATGCCTCAAATTCAAGTGGCTGCATTGTTGAAAACATTTTTCGTGTGCTGGTGACCAAAAGTTATTCCACACTAAATGATTTGTGTTTGGGAATCGATCACAGAGCCTTTGCACTAAGGTTCATGACAGTCAGTGATCATTGTGAGTGTAACTTCTGCCTATGCAGAGCATGTATACATGTGTCTTGTGATTTGAAGAGCCGAAAAAAAGGCCCAGATAACTGTAGTATAGTACTAATTTCCCCTCTGAGATGTAGTTTTTGTTGTTAATTTTAAGGCATTTAAGTTTGTTTTCTTTTTTAAGCTTTTATTTAGTATTTTATTTTTCCCCAGTTACACGTAAAAACAATTTTTAAATTCATTTTTAAAACTTTGAGTTCCAAATTCTCTCCCTTCCTCCTTCCTCATCCCCTTCATTGAGAAGGCAAGCAATTCAGCATAGGTTATATGTGTGTGTAGTCATGCAAAATATTATCCATAATAGTCATATTGTAAAAGAAAACATAAACAAGAAAAAAAACTCAAGAAATACAGTAAAAAAAGTGCACTTCAATCTGTATTCAGACAGGAACTTTAGTTTCAAAATAACCCTATTAATTTTAATTGTCCTGTTAGATGACATGAATTAAATAATAGTGACAGTATTAAATTAAGAAATAATAATATCAGTGAGCAGTGCTGTGTGAATACAGTGATACTCCACTTAAGTCCTTGTCTTGCACTCTTCATACCGTCATCTGTACCTGTTCCATTAGCTGATATCACTATTGGCACCTTGTCTTTAGAGACATTTACATTCATATCCCAGAACACTCCTGCGTGTTCCCATCGAGGTTCATTTTTGTGTGGCCACAGGCACACCCCCAATTATTTCACATCTGAAATATATGCTAATATTTCTTTCTGAACTTCCTTCAGTTCTCTTCTATGCACTTGGAAAATGCTTCAATGACCGCTCTTTATTTTTTTAACACCCTGTTGTTCTTCCCTGAATCCCCTCTCCCTCATACTAAAAAGAAAAATACAAATAACAAATAAGTGTCAAGTGAAATGAATCCACATGATATCTCTGTCCAAAACACGTCTCACTCTGCACCTTGAGTCCATCACCTTACTGTCAAAATGTGGACATCATGCTTCATCATCATAGGTCCTTTGGAGACGTGGTTAGAGAATCTGCATTAATTAGTGGTCTTAAGTTTCTCAAAGTTAATTTTCTTTACATTGTTTTGGTTGCTGTATAAAATGTTCTTCTGGTTCTTCTCCCTTCTCTCTTCATCATTTCAAGTTCCCAGTCCCCTTCATCATTTCTTCCTTAAGTTACCCTTTCTTGGGATTATCTTTCTTTCTATGGCTCTTCTAAATCAGCCACAAAGAACATTTTTAAGCCTCATGTGATTCAACAAATCTGTGTTCAGTTTCCTGTTAGAACTAAGTCACTGTAATACCAGTTACAAATATCTTTTCACCATGGGCAGAACTTATCACAGAGTCCCTGGCCAGCTAAGTCCAGCTGGTGCCTGAAAGAGAATCTGTCTACACACACACACACACACACACACACACAGACTTATTCCTACCTTTGCTTGAACACCTCCAGTGGAGGGGAACCCACTACCTCTAGAAGCAACCCATGCCACCTTTAAATCGCTGTAATCATTAGGAGGTTTTCTTGACGTGAGGCTTAAATTTGCTATTTTGCAATGTCTCTTTATCTTTTCTATTTATTCCCTCTAGGAATCAACAGAAAATGTCTGTTCTCTTTTCTGCATGACAGCTTTTCCAAGTACTTGGAAGACAGCATTCATCTTTCCCCTAACCCTTCTCTTCTCTAGGCTAAATGGATGCTGTGCCCTTCATTGATCCTCAGGACTTGGATTCAAGGCCCTTGCCATTCTGATTACTCTCCTCTGGGTGCATGTGCAGAGAAGTGACCATGATACTCCATGGGTAGTCAGACTAGCATGAAGGGACTACCATCTCATTTAAGGAAGCTACTCTGCTCTTTTTCAGTTCTTTTTTAAATTGTGAACTTTTAAGAAAAAAAAAATTTCCATACATAAGAGCACAAGTGACTTATGTATGAAATCATGAATCTTCATTTCATACCACTTATTTAACGTTTTAGTGACCCTCTTTTTTTAGTACCACAATTGCCAACCCCACCTCCCAATCCAATCAAAAACCTAGAGAAAGAAAAAGAAAAAGGGAAAACAAAAACAAAACCTTGTAACAGATAAGCATAGTGAAGCAAAACTTCTACACGGTGATCATGTTCAAACATACATGTCTCTTTCTGTACCTTCTGTCCTTCACCTCTCTGTCAAGAGGTAGATAACATGACCATCAAGGACCCACTAACGATATGGTTGATTATTGCAATGATTTTTGTGTCTTTCAAGTTGTTTTTCTTCACAGTGTATAAATTGTTCTGATTCTACTCACTTCACTGTTCATTAGTTCCTACTACCTAGGGTAATCTGGAATCATTGCTGTCATTTCTTATGGCACAATAATATTCCATTTCATTCCTATACCATAACTTGTTTAATCATTAATGAATGATTGCCTGTGTGGCAATCTCAGGCACCCCCTTAGATACTAGTCCTTTTATTTTTTTTTCCCATTGTAATCCCCTCCTTCAGGATAAGGAAGTTTGTTTTGCTTCTGACTTTCTTCCCAATATTATTCTCCCACTTAAGTTTCTCCTCTCTATCCCTGCTTGTTTTTCCTGTTATTTAATGTATTTTTATACCTGTTTGTCTGTGTACGTGCATTCATCCCTTTGTCAATTTCAGATAAGAGTAAGGTCCATATGATACTCACTTCTCCCACCCCATTCTCCTTGTTTTGTATACTCTTCTCACATACCCCAAATTTGAGAAATGGCATGTTCTACCCTCATCTTTCTCCTTTCTACACCAGTGTATCCTTTTTATCCCTTTCTTTTTCCCCTCTTCAAACTTTCAGAACAGAACCAATCCACTCCAAGACCTCTTTTTT